ATCATCATCATCATCATCATCACCATCGTCATCATGCTCATCATCACCGTTGCCATCATCATCATCATCATCATCATCATCATCATCATCCTCATCAGCATCATCATCATCATCATCATCATCATCAGCCTCATCATCATCACCAACATTATCAGTAGCATCGTCGTCATCATCGACGTCAGCATCACCAACGACATCGTCGTCCTCATCGTCATTGCCAACGTCATCATCACCATCATCGTCATCAGCACCACCGCCTGAGTTTCCCTTCTTCCAAACCTCCTCCTCCTCCTCCTCCTCCTCTCCATCCCCCCCCCCCCCCCAAAAAAACATCATCCGCATCGGCGTCAGCATCAACATCATCATCAGCAGCATCATCATCATCATCAGACCATCGTCGTCAGCTTCATCATCATCGTCAGTTGCATCATCAGGCTCATCAGCATCATCAGTGTCGTCGCCGTCCTTATCATAATCATCATCAGTGCCATCAACACCAGCATCATCGACAGCATCATCATCATCATCATCATCATCATCATCATCATCGTCATCACCATCATCATCACCATCATCGTTACAAGCAATTTCATCCTTGCCATCGTTGTCGCTAGCCTCATCATAACCATCACCATCATCATTCTCGTCAGCATCATCATCACCATCATCAGCCGCGTCGTCGCCATCAGAATCATCAAGAGCATCGTTACAGTCAACAGCATCATCATCATCATCACCCTCCCCACCAATATAATCACCCACCTCACATCATCGTAAGCAACACCATCATCCTCCTCGTCTATCTCATCCTCCATCTCCATCTCATCATCATTATCGACGTCGTCGTCATCAACATCATCATCATCACCATCAGCAGCCTCATCAGCACCATCACCATATCATCATCATCATCAGCAGCAGCATCATCATCATCACCATCATCATCGTCATCAACATCATCATCATCACCAGCATCATCCTCATTGTCATCATCAGCAGCATCATCATCAGCATCACCAACAACATCATCATTATCCTCAGTAACATGTGCATCATCATGATCATCACCGTCACATTCGTAATCATCATCATCAACAACAGCATCAGCATTACCAGCATCATCATTAGAATCGGCGGTGCGATCTTAATGAGAAGTATCACAATCATCATCAGAAACGTGATGTTCATACTCATCACCATCATCTTGCTCCGCTTCCTCATCCTCTTCATCACCATCACCATCGCCAACATCAGCATCATCGTCAGCGTTGCCAGAAACAGCATCATCCTCGTCATCGTCATCGTGATCAGCAGCGTAAGCATGTTCAGCATTACCATGCGCATCATATGCATCAGCACCATCATCAGCATCAGCATGGTCATCGTCATAATCGTCATCAGCATCATCATATCCTCATCGTCATTGTCATCATCATCCACCCATCATGGTAATCATCATCATCACGCATATCATCAGCATCACCATCATCACTTACCACTGCCGTCATCAGCATCAGCAACAACATCAAAACCATCATCTCCGTGCTCGTCGTCGTCATTACCGTCAGCATCACCAACATAGTATATATCATCACTATCGTCTTCATGCTCATCCTCCTCCTGCTTCTCCTCCTCCTCCTCCTCATCATCATCATCACCATCATCATCAGAATGATCAGCGTCGTCACCGTCATCATCATCACAGTTATCATCGTCGTCATCATGATCCTCATTACCATCATCATCACCATCGTCATGGCCATCACGGTCATCGCTGCCTTCGCCACCATGTCTCCTCCTCCCCTTCTCCCCTCATCGTCATCACCCTTCATCCGCCCTCTGCTCTCCCCATCCCTCCCCTATCACTCCGTGCGGCGGAGGAGGCGGAAGCTCCGCTCCGGATTCGCTGCGCTTGCCACCAAGCGGCACCCATCGTACAGCCATGTTTCGCGGCACTCTGGGGCCGACCACGCTGCAGCTCGAGCGGCGGCGCAGCGGCGGGAGGCAGAGCGCTCCTGGGCGCCGCGCCCTCACGGTGGCCACTCCGTGGCCCCCCTGCCTTCTGAGCTAGGAGCCCGTCGCCAGTTCTAGGCGGGCCTCCCTCCCCCGTGGCTGCACAAAGTGGACGCCTCGAGTGGGGAGAGCACCCTGTGACGCAGAGCCCGCACGGATGGAGAGAAAGGAAGCGCCACACAGCCGGCCAAGGCGAGGTTGCCCCCGCACGGCTGGCGGCTCACCCATCGGTGCAATCGGGCACGGACACGGGGCATCACAGAACCCCAAGGTCGAACTCACACCCCTTGTCGGCGACTCTGGAGGGTGTGGTTTGCAAAGACGGTGTGGTTTGCAACCCGGCACCCTGGGGGCGACGGGGATCTCGATTGAGTTTCCCGCCGCGCCCCAGGGAGGACCGTCGGTTTTGGTCCCGTACAGGACCGACGAGTACAGCGTGCCCTCCCAAGCCTTCTATCCATTGCTGCTCAATGGCAGCTGCAGCAAG